TGAGAATCAATCAACTAGGAACGAATTTTGTTGGGGACGAATTGAGAGTCAATTAAGGGGGGACCAGTTGGGATAATTGGCAAGGGGGACCAGTCGAGAGGATCCCATTTTTATTGATATAATCATAAATAGGATATAAAACTAAAATATATATATATACGATGATGTAAAATAAAAATGAAGTATTATTGACAATATTTTTATAAATAATAATCTTCTCCAAAGTTAGTAAGAAAACAAATTTAAATAGCCTTCATATCTTTGTTTAAACATTCTCTTCTTCTGATATCCTACAGACATTTTCTCCTTCCGTTTGTGTTTCTCTCGAAGTATCTTTGTTTTTCCATTGCTCATTCACATATATATTAGTGACTATTCGAAAAATAAAAGAGAAACTCAATATTGATCTGTTAGATCAATTATATGTTAGTAGTCTCTTATGACACGATTACAGCACATGTCATAACATTGTAAATTTGTTTGAATACCAAATAAACATTTTATAAAGAGTGTTATGTTCGGATTATTGTTATAAGATTTGCAATAGATGTACCTTCATTTAGTATAAAATTAGGTTCTATATGTCTTATAATGCAAGAGAGTGAGACTTAAAAAAGACATCTATTAGTGCAATATGGAAAGAAAGAGTTAATATGATACCATGAATTGCAACGTCTGTCAGAATTCTAGTGAAAGGATCGTTAAATAACAGAGACCTTGGCCATGTCATTTGTCCCAATGCTACAATATATATTATGATACATAGTTTAATATTCATACCTATTTTTTCTGTTCTTTTTTGTTCAAACAATCTCGCTCTATACCTTCTCTGTATGATCAAAAAATAATTGAATGACTCTCGAAGTATAAAAAAAAATGTAATAAGGTAATCAACCTATTTTATCCGTGTTTGTTATGCATCAACTACTTTGCATACAAAAGGAAAGAAACAGCGTGGACACCATATTGACAGATAGACTCTCAATGTGGAGAAAAGAAGGTTGATTGTAAGACAGATTATTATCAAGATTATAGAGAAACAGCAGATTCATTCAATGTATAGTTAAAAAAAATTACTATGCATTTATAACGACGTCCAAACAAGTTAGATATTGATCGACATTGAAGCAAGAAACAAATTGAAACTAAACGTACCTACGTCAAAATTTATAAAAAGCAAAGAAGCCTCTTCATTCTTGCTATTGTTGTTGTCATTGTAAACTTATCTATTATCATGGATTCAAGTCCTTATTTAACCCTCTCCGGCCGGCTATCAGAAGAAAGCAGCAAATGATTATCTTTCTGTATATTCTTTGTTGTTAAGTTATAAGGATCAATTCTAGACGGTCGAGTTTTTTAAAATTCTCGTACCCCCCTACGGCAAAAATGTTGCCAAAAGGCAACATCCGGCCGGAAAGGGTTAATCAACAAGATCCATCTTATGATGTGTCGAAAAACAATAATATTCATTCTGACCACATTCGGTACTTCCCAGTCAGTCAACAATAGAGAAAAAACTCGTTTTTACCCGTTGAAATGTGCGCTTTTAACGTTTTGTAACGCGTTTTCCAGCAAAAAACGACTTTTAAACGCTTGAGCAACGCATATAAACGCGTTTTTTTCACTTAAAAGACAAAATATCGCGTTTATACATGTTAGAATGTGCGCTTTTACCGTTTTTCGAAGCGTTTTCAAGCGAAAAAAAACGTTAAAATAATGCGTTTAAACGCGTTTTTTTTTCGATCTTGACTGCCTGGGTTGTTTTTTGATCATCTATTGCTGTTGCATGGCAGATTTGACATTAATTCCACTGACTATACGTCAGATTAGGCAAGAACAATTGTCTTTGAACCATAGCACAGAAGATGGATGGATATCTTCATCTCTTTACAATGAACTACATTCATATTTGCAATCGGTTAAATCAATACGAGCGAAACTACCCAAAATAGTTCGTGTAACTAATGGAAAATATATTATAGAACCATTCAATAAAAACTATATTCAATGGACTAAAAATAAGAATTTCAAAAATTATCCATATTCATCTTGGAAATGTTCCAATACATCTTCTAAAGAACCTGATAACCATGAATATTGTTTTCTAACCAATATTTATTTCATTTCAGCCAACAATACCTACTATTATTATCGTGACCCATCAGAAAACAAAGTGATGACTCGAGATCGATTCATATCCTCACATGGTACAGTTCAAGTTTATATTCTTGATGATATAACAATAATAAAACAACATGGTGTTTCAGCCATTTTAACACAACCAATTCATGTGGGTGGTGGACCTGATTCTAATTATGTTCATGGATTTCTTGAAAGATATGGTCCTCTTTTTTGGACTCTCTCTGAAATTCAATCTCATCGAACATATATTAATCCAAGTAAAATTCAACTTTATTATTCATCCAAAATGCATACAGATCATGGACGCAATGTATGGTTACCTATATAACGACTTTCAGATGGAACCTATCAACATAGAGCTCGATGGACTAATGCACTTAATGCAATGTTCTCAATTTATCCATTATTAACTTACAAATCATTTGATGAAGCAACAATCATGTTCAAATATATGATTTTCACTGGAATGCCATATAAACGATCACCTTGCTGGGGTATTCATCAGGAACCAAATAGACTACTTAGTTATTATCCATTTGATATACAAGAATATCGACGAGCTTATTTAACATTTTCAGAATGGATATTGAATAATTTTGAATTACATTCTAAATTCGAATTGACATCTATTCAAAAGAAATTACAAGAGAGTCATAAATCAGAACAAATACCTATCTGTTATAAACAATGTCAAAATCAATCGTTTAGTACATCATCAACAGAAACAACATTTACTGGAGATTATATTGCTGTTATGAATCGAGCCGGTATCGGTCGTCGAGAATTAACTAATGCTGATGAATTAGTGGAAGCACTATTGAAAGCATTTCCTGATCATAAAAACTCTTATCTACGTGTTTGGCCAAAACAATTCGATTTTAATGATGATCTCTATGAAACAGCACGTATGGCTCGATCAATTCGTGTTCTTATCGCAGTGCATGGAGCTGGTATATCGAATGCTATTTTCATGCGACCAGGTACGATTCTCTATGAAATCACTCCACCTGGTTGTCGTATGTTGACATTTTTTTATCGACGTTGGGCCGAAGTATTCAATCTTCAATATGCACTATGGAGTCCTGGAGATAAAGGTGATGCTTGTACACATGAAGGAAACATTAGGGTGAATGTGGCTGACGTTGTTAGTGATGTCATCAACTTAGTTCAAAATGAAAATCGATATAGAAGTGGTTATATATCACGAGCACTCGATATTATACGGAAAGAATAAGAATAATCCAGATGGTTAACTTTAAAGAGTGAATGTAGGGTGTGGGTGTGAAGTTTAACGAAAAACTGACACCCACACCTCACTATAACTCGGTGAAGAATCTCGTACAGTAACAAAAGCCATCGAACAATAAAATAATTCACTGGCAATTCTCTTACTGAAATGGAGTATCAATAAAATCGATAATTTTCAATCATATAGTCTTGAATGTCTTTGTTTACTGGAAAGAATGTATTCTTATAATTTAATTGAGAACCTATTTTGTTTTTCTTTTTATTTATTTAGTAAGAAAAAAATTCCAACTATCTTTTTAACTTTAACAATTAGCAAAAGAAAAGAAAGAATATGAATCAATATCGTCGTAGTATGTCATACAAATAATGTTGATAAACAGACGAAAACTAGAAAAATATCAATCCGATTATCGAACTAACTAAGCTTTTTTTTCTTCTTTCTAAAATTATACAGAAAAAAATGTATTTGTTGTACGAATATGCAGTACCTTGAGAGCATTTTATCAATGTCATAGTGAACATTAATGTTTTTTTTTTTGCGGCTTCAATCGATTCGACTACTTTCGTTTTATAATAGAATTTTATTGTACAATAATGATTACAAACGAACATTCAATAGACATACATTAATCAAGCTTCTCAAGTTAGATGTTTATTAAATGAGTTCATTGAAATTGTTATTCTTCAATTTGCAATTTTACTAGTAGTACCCTTCCTTTTCGTTAGAGTATTTTGGCCATTTACTAATGTTTGTAAACTGAATTTTCTTTCATCTCCTCTTGCTTTTCGAAACCAGAAAAGTCTAAGTAACTCTTGTCGATATATGTAAGATGACATTGTAAAAATATAAAAACTTGTTGCGTAACTAATAAATAATGGTAGAGTAAAAATTTGATTGAAAAATTCAAATAAATTTGTACGTCGATCAGTTAAAAAACCCACTAAATTAAGAATAGCAAATGGTAGAATAGAAAGAACTTGTGTTATAATTTGTGCAAATAACATTCGAATTAAATGATGTTCAAGACGACGAGAACCATCATTACCAATTGTGAAGACAGGTTGAATTCGACGTGTTTGTTTATGAATATTCATCAGTGTAAGTATACACAATACAGCCATACAAAAAGATGGTAAAATACAATAAATTACCAGATAAAATATTCGATAAAATAACTCATAAAGACCTGGTTGAGCATCACACAAAACCATGGAATCTTCCGTAATTATTTGAAAGAATATTGCCATATGAAAATATAAAATACAAGCCAAAATAATTGCTCCAATAATTAATCGTTTTGCTACTTTTTTATTACACAATGATCGGCGTGTAGCTGATGCTGAACTTGAACAATATCGATCAAAACAAGCCAATGTATAGAAATATGGTGATAAAGCAAAAAATACATAACCAAAATAAAATCGTAATTTACACATAACATCCGATGTTTTTGCTACATCAAGAGAGAATCCATTGGCTAATAAACGAGTTAATAATGATATGTAAATAACCAGAATATTATCAATTGAAGCTGCAATAAGATATAATGTACAAGATGATTTTGAGAGTGTCGGACGTGTAAAAATAAATAAATTGAGACCATTACCAATTGTTCCCAAAATAATAAATGTTGTTAGTACAACTCGTAAAATTTGCACAGCAATATCTACCAACATTATTTTTCTTTTATGCCAATCAAAAAAAAAAAACAATTTTTCCCTATCTATTTTAAAAAAAAAAAAAAAAGCAAGCATAATATGACAGGTTTCTAATTAATAGAACGATTATGTCATTTTTATCCTCTATTATTTTTGAGCAAACTCACCTAGATATAGCAAATCGATCATAAGAAACATTTCGTATGACTAGATTTTATGAAATTTATGTAAATAAGTTTTGCAACCAGAAAACTCCACTTCAGATAAAGGTCGAAAACTTTGTGTCTCTGTTTATTGTAATAAACAAGTCACTCGATGTTAGATTTCATGTTGTTTGCAAATTGATCTCTGTACAGAAAAAATTCTGGTAAAAGGAAAATAAGAAAAACAGCTGCAAAAAAAACTGGCGTTGATGATCGATTTCTGCGGAACGAATAATCAAAACCTTCGATTTCCAAGCTATTAATAGACTTTCTTCAAATTGAGAAAAAAAAAGTCTTATTATATTATCGATTCAAAATAAGATCAAAAAATGTTTCATTAATTATTTTATTTTTTGAAGTATTACTTTATCTTAATCTTTCTTTTTATATAAAGGGTAAAGACAAAAACAATATTTCTTACAAAAAATTGACGATAAATGAAAACAAATTAATAGTTTATTATTTTTCTCAATATGTAATTGAAATGCTTTAATTGCAGTTCTTGCTTGCATATTATCACATCTATACTGGCAACACAAAAGATATCTAGTTTCATCATAAAAGATGCATTAAGATCCTAAAAGAAGGCAACTTTTATACATGGAAAATGTGCACAATTTTTTTCCCAAACTATTTGACATGTTTTGCAGACAAAAACACATTCTTGTCTGCACAAACCTTGTTTGATGAAAGCAGCTGATTTTGATGTTTTCTCAATGTACATGAAAACACGCGAACTATATTTTGTCTAGAGAGAGTAACTTAAAATCTCTAATTGTCTTCATAGCTAAATAAATCTTCGAATAAGAATATTACTAATTGTCGAACTATTACATCTAGAAACAGTGTTTATATAGCTAGCACTCTCATAAAAAGTAAAAATATTGAAGATGAATATAAGTAAATACGACTTTGTGTATAAAAATATGTTTAACTATTTCAGAGTTGTTTATAATATAGACTGACAATCAATACTAAATGTCTCTCGGAATGTAAGCCTAACGGTAAAAATTAGTTGACTTGAGCAAAGCTTCTTATCTTTTGATATGCAAATGTGACATTCGTAATCAGCATGAAATTTCACATCGAGTGATGTGCTTACTGAAATGAATGGAGAGAAAAAGTTGTCGACCATTTCCTGAAGTGAGGGTATCGAGTCAAAGAACTGTTTAGAAGGATTTGACAAAACTGACTCGTACAAAATATTCTTCACGACTAACAATGGTCTTATTGCTACTCACCATTTGAAAATGAACCTTATGAGCAAATTGTTGTTATTTTTATAGGAATTAAAATATAGTCTAAGTTTTGTTTTAATAGAAAAAACAAGAAGTATGTCATTCGCAAGTTTTGTATGATAGCTGCGTAAAAAAAGATAATAATTTAATGTGCTGCGTTTCAATTGTTTCCTCGTATTTCTATTTTCTATGTGTTTGAAAAAAGTCGATTCACACTCTGAAAGAAAGAACTTTTCTTAATGAATTATTTAATACTTATTTCATGGCTTTATGCAAATTGTCATATTAGTTAGAAATTCTCTATTAGCATACTTTTATCAAAAGAAAATAGGTTAAATACTTTGTGTCTGTTAACTTTGGTTTATCTATATTTAGTTTCCTATAAGGATTAAGGTGACATCACAAGATGAAATGCAACGAATCGTAGAGTGAATATGACAATATATTGGAAGAAAGTCACTCGATGATTTTAATGAGGCAACATAGTTTTTTTCACCTTTAATCTCTCGTTTCCCTCGCTGACAGTAGGTCTATGACAGTCATTGATTAAATAATTTTATAAATAGAACAGTCACCGATCTAATAAGAAAATGGTTTGGTCTGATTCATCAGTGATCTTGCTCTTTATGCAGGATAATTTTGGTTAGATTAGTGCCTATGTGGTAAAAAAGAGAGATTAACTGAGATAGAAAATCCTCACTTTTCTTCTTTTATGATAGTATTAAGTGAACAAAAGTAGCTGATATAACATGATATTTCAATTACTGGAAGAAGAAAGGTATACATGGATAGAAGTTTATTTTGAAAAAGTATGTCTGTTTTTGACATATCTTGTCAAATAATCACTAATTTTTTGTTTTAAATAATTGATAATCAATGAAGACATTTTAATTTAAATTCTTACATGCATCAGCTTTATTCGTGATTCTTCATTTTGGATTCAATAGTTGCAATACAGTTCAGTTTACAACTTATTCTTTATAATTCTCCAAGTTACTGTGGAGCTTTCGAAACTTATTTGAATCACTGATGAACTTCTTCTTCTCTCTGTATCATATAAAATGACTCAAAGTGTTTATAATCATTCGATAACCATAGGAAAACTCCTATAATTTTCAGCTGAAACATAGCAGAGACATATCTTCAGAATATCATTTTAGAAATTCTACATCAAGAATTCATTCAAATGATCATTCACTGACCAATCAAAGTTGATATACTTTGCTGTCCACGCGTCATTTTTCTTGCATGTCGAAAACCCTTGGTTCCTATTGAGAATTATTCAAAATACATCGACCTGCTTGTATTTTGGTGTCGATGATAATAGACCTCTCACACAAGGAGATCGATATAGTTTTCAAAAGTACAAGACAGAGAGCATAGATTCTATATTGTAGTGAATTTTATTTCTGGTATATGAGAGCAAATGAAGGGATTGCTGTGAAGTCGAATATAATCAAATATGAATAAAGAATACAAGTCAGAATAATTACATCCAATAATGAAGTTCACAGATCGGAAAATCCCAATCGATCAGTAAAAGCCATTAAAAATATTTATCAAGCGCCTTTTTACCTTTAATATCCACTCAGATATAGAACAAACTTTTTATTACCGTTCTATGAGAGTTCTATATAGTTCGATAGGACTGAGAGCACTGGTTAAAAATATCATATCGTTTTGAAAAGTACTCTCTGTTAGTCTTAAGAAATTAGTTTATGATAAAGTCTATTAGAGGCATTTCGTCCTAATCACAATACTTGATAGGCTATTTGCATCTTTTTTGACTAATATTCGATGGCTGTTGAGCAGAACTTCCTTTGTTTGACTTCACACAAATATCATATTTGAAATCCAAAAAAACATTGAATCGTCTTATGTACATTATAAATTACTTATGCAAGCTTTTTTGAGTCAAATTTAGTTTCTCAGGGATATATGAAAAAATAAATCTCATCAAAACAACTATTTAAACATCTACACACATCTCTGTTTTTATCTTTGAATGACATGTCATAAGTCAAGAACGATTTTTTGTTGAATTTCATTGTTTCATACACTTCTGGAAGATATCCGGCGCATTTGTTTGAAGTCAAACAAGGTATTTTATACTTCAAAACTATCGCATTGATATCAGCAGAAAAATAAACTTTTGAAAAATATCTGTCTTACTAGTTCGAACAAAAACGAATAGATAAAATTTTTTTCAAAATTTTTACTGATGCAATGCTTTCTAACGGTTAATGTGAATTAACGGCATAGAAATAATAATAGAGCCGGTAGTTATGGAAAATTCTTTAAAATGAATCCCATCTATAAATTTAACCATAAAACATGATCTTACCGACACTTTTGTAAGCTCACTTTCCTCTTTGTGAGAGAAGAAAACAACAAATACCTTTTCTCATCGACATCATTAAATATTGAATAAAAAAAATTATACTTAAATAGTTCTTCTTCTTAATTTTATTCTATTATTAAGAAAGTGTAAAGTTTTCTCATATTGATAGTCGAGGACACACAGAAGGCCTTGTTTACAGCTATGTTGATTATCAGAATTCATCCTAATAATAAAAATTGTTATATACAAAACTTTTTTGTAATCCCTCGATTATCAAAACGAAAAAAATGTTACATTTTTTGAATAATAAAACAAAGTGTAAAAAATAATAGCTCAAATATCTAATATTTTAACTGAGATAAGATATTTTGTCTTTTCTTTTGTTAATTTTAGATTTGAACTAATAATTGACTTATACTTAAGTTCAGATGTTGAGTTAGAATGAAATATTTTAAGAAAATAATTATACAGATGTTCTTATTTATATTTTGAACGTTTTTCAACAAAACAATGATCAGAATATGGAAAGATCGCTCAACAGAAAAAAATATTCTTTATCAATGTAAGAAAAGTATAATTGAAATAATCACTGCTAAAATGATTCACTAAGTATTTTCAATCAAGTCATATGTTCAATTATTTTTTTTGAACAGAATTTAAAACACGAATTGATTAGTAAACGAACTAAAAGTATTAAGTTGTCTAATGCTCATATTAAATGGACATAACTTTTCTTGTAAGTTAAGCCAATTTACTAGACATATAAAAAATTTTTAGTATAGTCTCTACAGGAATACAACGTGTGCAACTCATCAACTCTGAGTGTAAGAAATTTATGGTATATTATCAGAGGCTAAAATAATGACTAAATAAATAAAAATTTATAGCTAATAGGCGCGCTCTAAAATTTGATCAGTTCAAAAATGATTACATTGCAAATTACTATTCTACCAAATTATCAATTTAATTTAACATCATTATGCTGAAAAATCTTATTTGTATTATCAGCTACATTTTCCATGAATAATTTCTTTTCTCCTAATAAAAACATATACATTACATGCCATAGAAAGTGGCAAATATCATTTTATTCTTCGTTTCAACTATCAAATTAACCTGCTCTAAACATTGTTTTAATTGTTCAGTAAGCTTCTGAGAATACTATTCTTTCTCACGAGTAAGTTTGACATATACTGTCATGTTTTACCTAAAACTTAGAATTCAATTAGTTCATACTTATCTACGTCCGTCCTATTCAGACTAGTCCTGTAATAAGATACTTTTACTGCCTGAAATACCAAAACCTAGAGCATTTAGATAAGTTAGAATCTACGATAGAAATCTTCGATTCATAGAATTTTTTTACAAGATTTCAGAATGATCTAGGTACTACTATTACTAATGAGTCTTTTTCCGTTGTTATGGAAACGTATCCAATAGTCTTTGGCTTCCCGTCTATCTCTCGAGTGCTAAGAGTTGGAAGTACGAAACTCGAGACATCTAAATATGTTTAAGTATTATACTACAATAGTTGCGAGCAAATTACAGCTTTAAGAAGAGTCGAGTAAAAAAACTTTTAGCGTACCCTATGTACACATCGTTCGAAAGAAGAAAAGATTTTGTATCCTGTCCAATTTTGCATAATATGTTATTACTTAAGTAACATATATCCTATCGAAAAATGCCGTATGTCCTTTTTTGTCAGTGTCAAAGCGCTCAAGAAATCTTCCGCGATTTGCATGTCCTTTCCTCTTGAAGATTCCTTATCATTATTACATTCACTAATACTTCGTCTATTCTGTTCCTTATCAATAAAGAGGATTACATTTATCAATATTTTAACAGTCGATATTGAAGTAATCGTCACTCAATAGTTTTCGCATAAAGTTTTACAAGACATGAGCCATAAGAATATGACATTTGATATAAGCCTTAGACGACCATAAAAGATATCGTTCTCAATAAAAACATGTTAGTCCTGGTTCTGAACCTATCTGACTCATATCTACTACACAAGAGTCAATTTTTATTCATTTATTTTTTATAATTATTTTTTTTTTGATGATTCTTTCAGTCGTCTAATTATCAATTGTATTTGACTATTTGTTTGTCTTACTTAAGGTACATCTATTGGTTGACGTAACGTTTCAACAACAGGGTGAATCACTTGTGAAAGTAAAGATTTATGCTATTGTCATTTTCACTCAGTATCTCTCCTTATCTCATTTAATCTGTTGCGATACAACAATGACGTATATGCTCATGACATGTTGTCTTATCTAAAATATTATCTTTAACAGAAAAAAAAACAATAATAAAGCTTTTTCTCATATTTATTCAAGTTTTATTTGATCTCTAAATTCAAGATAGGTTAGTCAAAAAGATCCTAGTTAAAAGAATTATAATAATAAAAAAGCATTCTCATCTGTTCTTTTTTCATACTAGTATCTTCCATTAATTTCAGAATTAACATTATGGCCATGGATCTAACCTGTCTTAGTATTCATCCACCATTACCAACAGTACCAATAATTACTAATGATTCCAATAGAATTGTTCATCCAACATATAAACCGATTAGTGGTAGTATTTCTCAAATGATATCTGCTTCAATGGCACGTTCAACATTTTCTATACATGATGTTCGATCTTTATTAAAAAGATTCTTTAAACAAAATTTTAATTCATGGAATTTTTCTGAAATAACTAAAACAAAACCAATACCGTCAGCTATTATTTATACCAGTATAGCACTTGCTTTATTTTTAATATTATCAATTATGTTTTGTATTCTATCGTGTTGTCATTTTAAAAAACATCAAGTAAGTAAGAAAGATAAATTTATTTAAAATTAAATTAGAATATTTTTTTTTATTTAAAGGAAAAAAAAAGACAACAATCAAAATCTTCACGTATTTCACGATATTTATTAATAATTATTTATTTACTTGGAATAGCTGATATGATATATGTTGCCTATCGAGTAAATGAAACAAAATATTCTATTGATAATACAATTAAAGAAGTTAATCAAGATATTTATCCAAAAGAAATATCTGAACATATTAAATATTTAAATAGACAACTTGAAAATCTTGATCAATATTTTATACAAAGTAAATTTTTTAATGAATTATAAATTTTAATTTATTCTTTTTTTATTTTTATTAATAAGCAAATTCAATTTTAATTAATGCATCAAAATCAATGTTAATCAATGCATTTGATGAAATATTACAAGAAAAATATTTTCTTGATAATATTGTTCAAACTGTAAATAATGTTGATAATAATATTCGAAAATTACAAGATATAATAAATACAGAATCAACATTATCTCCATTAGCTATACAAACATTTAAAAATATTCAAGAACAATATCAAAACATGATTAATTATTTAGAAATACCATTAAAAGAAATTTGTAAATATGCTAATGGAACACAAACTGATATTGATATGAAATTATTAGATGTATTAAATCTTGTTCATGACAAATTAATAAAAGCAATTAATTCAATCAATAATGATATTTTGAGTCAAATAACACCATGGCAAAATAATATGTTAATAAAAAAAGATTTAGAAGAACAAATTCGAAAATATATTAATCTTGTTGGAATTATTTTTCTTGTATTAGTAATAATACTCGGTATGATTCCTGTCAGTTTTTTAATTTTTATCATAATATATCGTTTATGTAATCGAAATGATTATGAATCAAATAAAAACAATCGGTTAGTCATTTTTATTTATTTATTCTTTATGTCAGATAATTCTTGTTTTTTTTTTTAAATAGTAATCGAATACAAATGAATAACATGGTGGGAGGGTCGGATACATCTTCTATGGATAGTTATCCTAACAAACAGCGCTATGATCCACATAACAGTGTTAGTAAAAATATACCGTAAGTGCTTGAACTATTTTCGTTATTGCGTTGCTGGATAATAACTCTGTTTTTTCCAGTATAAATCATCATCGATACCGAAGTAAATCGGAAACAATGAGTTCCAATAATAATGGTTCATCTGGTATATTACTCTGTGTGATGCGTATTGCATTTGTTATTATAATTATTATACTTATTGCTATGATTCTACTAACTGGTGTTTATTATGCTGTTGATCTTGTTGTTCAAGGTGCTTGTCGAACAGTTCATGATGATCAACCTTTTCTAATTAATTTCATTATCGGTAAATATATATTTATTTATTTGTATAAAATTTTGAATTTTATTGTTTGAATGATGTAGATAAATTAATTGAATCGAATATTATGCCTTATTATACTTCTGAAATCAATAGAACAGTAACTGATGTAGTTAGTGATTGTCGTAATCATATACATTTTAGTAAAAAAATTTTTGAAAATTATTGGTCTGTATTGGATGATGATGTTAAGGATATGATGAATACATTAAGTGAACATGTATTTAATCAATTTATTCAATCTATTGGAGATATTGATATTTCTTCTGATAGAAGTTTACTTATACAATTAATTAATCAAGCCAATCGATCAGATGTTTCTGTTATAGCTCAAGATATTGATAAAAATTTAATTACAATGAACAAATTCTTTGGAAATATCAGTAATTCAAATGCAACATTATCACCAAATCTTGTGCATTCGACTATTGACGAAGTTTGTTTATAGATAGTAATATAAATGAATTCGATTTGAAAATTTTTCTTTTGTTTTAGTTCAAAAATTATGTCAAGAAAGTACTTGAATCAACACTTGACAGTTGTCCTTTACCGTTAGCTATAATTTACAAAACGGATAAATTGATATGTCATAAAATGGGTAGTTCATTGAATGGTCTATGGCTGAATGTTTTCTTCTTTATGTTTATAGTTACGGTTGGCTTTTCTATTTTTGGTATTTGTGTCTATAAACGATTGAATTAATCATCTAAATCTATACGTGCCAACAATAATAATACTTTGAATTTCTAAATACATGATTCATTTTATATTATGATTTAAAGAAAAAATGTCTTTCTATACAGAGTCACATTCTGTGAAAATAAATTTGAATAACTAATTGAATTTTTGTTCATTGTTAACAGGCAGCAGCAAGCAAAGAAATAGTCAAGTCTGCCTAATTCGAATTATGCTTCCTTGAGAGCTCAGCTCAGTCCGCAAGGTACAGCTATTTATCTTGCTACTGTAAGTATAAGCTTAATATTTCATCAGTTGAGAAAAATACAAAGTTATAGCAATGGTGAAATTCTTTATTGACAATTTTTAGTTAGTCGAAAATTTAATCGAATTTTTGTTTGTATTTTGATGAAGTAGTCTATATTTTACGATCTCTATTATTAATGAAATCGACCTAGTAATAGAAAATTGATGATAAAAACAAAAGATTAATATTGTAATGGATATTTCGAATAATCATCATAAAACAGAAAATATAATAACATTATCTTTTTATTGTGGAATATCAAAACTGAGGTGTCTATATAAAAAAAAAAAGCATTGTTTTATAATCATATTGGTTATTCATTTATTTTCTTGTGGTCGAATACCAAGTGATTTTTCCAGTGCTTGGATACGTCGTTGACTGGCTTCAATAACATCCAACAGCTTGATAAATTGTACTTGCACATAATCCGGATTTCTATCATATATTTCCTTGAAACATTGACGAAGTTCATGTTTGTCATTTTGATCACGATGTGATACAGGTTTTTGACAAATCTGACATGGTGTTCGTTCATACTGACATGTTTGTTCATGTCCTTCAAGAGCATCATATGAAAGAACTTGTCCACATCCATTTGGAGCATAGACACAATAAATTCGAAGTTTAGATAATAAAATGTTCAGAATAGGTGGAGCTCGTTTTTCTTGGAACATACAATTGAATGGACATGTTACTTGTCTAGGTTGCTTCTGTTTGTTAGCCCATGTTTGAATGCATCCACGACAAAAAGCATTTTCACAAGTAACACAAGCAACAGGTTTCCAGAGAATATTTTGACAAATGCTACAGATTAATACACAACTTAGTTCGGTGTATCGCTCATCACCACAAACTCTAGTTGAGTCAAGGTAGCCCAATTCAGCTGTTGATTTTATTGGACTAATTTGATTTTTGTTTGTACTTCTGTTGTAATTCTAATAGAAACAAAGTTCCTAGATATTTTGGCATATTTTATAAAAAGAAATACCTACAGACTTGCGAGCAGACATCAAGTGATTTATTTAATAGTTTTAGCAGAATATTTTAGTCTAGTGTTGACAGTAGATGTTTATGTTGTTTAGAAAAATCTATGTATTGGAAGAAAACGAATGAAAAAAGCAAAAATATTCGAAAAAGCTGTGTAAGCGATGCAGAATGATTGCTTTTTTTTCTCAGAAATCATCCAATCAAGAAATGAATGAAAATAAAGCAAAAAGAAAGGAAAAATGATCCTGCCATCCATGCCACACAAAACGGGAAAGTATCAATCATCTGTGCTGGAGGAGCTTATATAATGTACAAGGTATCTTAAATTATAGAATTCTCTATGAATGTTATTAAAAAAATGCCTTCAATTTTAAGAAATAAGTGTCATGAACACCTTAAAATCAGACAAACATTTTTTGACATCACCAATCGAGAATTGTACTATTTTCGGGTACTTTGAATGTTTACCTCATGAAAAAAAAGTTTTTTGTCATTATACTGAATTATTATGCTAAAGTTGCTAATATGTCCTTGCTTAATCTATGCAAATAATTTTGATTATACTTTCCACAAGACTTATTTTTATTTGTAATTCGATGCTACTCGACAAGTTAATGTTGAATACCCTCTTGATTTTGCATCGAAATTTTGTCGTCTTTTTTTGCTTCAAAAAAATCATGAATATCACGTTGTAAACCTCAATTTTTGACAAAATCAGACCACCGAATCTTCTCATCAGTGAAGTGACAATATATTATCATATTTGCTTAATCAGTGATTCTAATTTGGGTGTGGATGTGAGTCTTCTCTTCCTCTCCACCCACGGCCTATAAATTGATGAAGGCGTCTATAAAAATTCTTGTTCTTTCAGTCATTATTTAGCGCATGCTTTGACATGCATGGTAGTTTTTTGTAGTTTTAATAGTTAATGACGAATTTTCTTTTAACATACATACTGATTTGTATTGTTTTTCATTAGTAATTGTACTATCATTATTTATCATGAATTAACCTATTCACCTATACTCTGTTAAATATCAGTGGATGAAGAGTTCGATTTCTCGTTGATTCGTGATATTTTTGCGATAGTTGATCAGTCAAATAAGAGGCTTTGTATCCGAGATATAGTGATTTTAGAAGATGTTGCTCATCATATTGAATCTCGGAAGTATATGATATGTTTGATATGAGACACTTCGATCTATCGCAGTGCAAATAATTTTCTTCTTGGTAGAATTTTTTTGATAAGATAAACATCAATAGTGTCATCTAATCGCTTGATGATTGTATTCGAGGCTGAGAACGTTATTTAGAAATGTATTAAACATCGTCAATGTGTAATAAATGGTTTTTGAAGTTTTCTCTGAGTCGAATTAGGGGGAGAAAAAAAATGTCTCTACAAGACTTTATTTACCAGAGCTTTTCTCGCAGCATAATGATAAAGAAGTCATTGGCTAGTGCATAAATCACAATGTTTAAAATGTGAGAATTCTACATATAATGAAACTGGCTTTTAGAAAATATGTGAACATAATAATACTTGTTGGATAATCATAAGTGTACTTGATATTCACATGTAGTATCTATTATAGTGTAGCACCAATATTATGAATATGACATCTTCCGATCGTCAAAGTCGGTTAGTTGTCATCAATTTATTGATAGATCTTCTTTTGTGAAGCTCACATATATTTTCAAAGAAAATAGTATTTGTTAAAGTTCTTAATAGTGTAATCGGTGACTTTTTTTAGAATATAAAACTTGTACGTTAAAAATCATAGATGAAGAATAGTAATATACATATTAATCTGTCATAGCACTCATATAATCAACATGAGAAGCATGATTCGATCTTTTTATCAGTTTGAAAAGTAAAATATATCATCAATTATGGATTGACTGAGATATATAGAAGTGTAGTAAGAGCTGCTAACGTATATAAACTGCATTATTGTAATAGTCTTATTCATGAAATAGTCGATGGTGAAAAAATAATAATAATTTCAAATTAAAATAAAAGAAAAAAAAATGACTATGATCGAGTACATAGCAACAATTATAAATGAAATCGGATGCTCTCAAACAAAAAAGACATTTTCTGTTTTTTATGTAGAAATAAATAATAAATTCTCGCTCTTGTCATCGATTATTAGTAAAAACAGCTATAGTCGACAAGAAATTGTTCAGTTTACAGATGATGTATTAGGATAATAAGGTTGAAAGATATACGTAACATCCACATTTCAGTTCCTTTGGAGCTGTGCTATCAAGCTTTTTTCTTCAATCTCTTTTTTTACGCTTTCTGTTTTGTGCTCATGTGGTGTGTCAAACATGCTAATCAAAAGCAATTTTATTTATGGCATACAGAAGCTGATTATCAACAAAATACGAGCAGAACACAAGAATTTTTTTCTTATATTACAGTGCCTCAAAGTTCAGAATAATCCACAACTCCATCGATAGTCTGAGACGCTGACATATTCGTGTCTCTTGTCGACCACGTGATTCAGCGACATAGAAAAGGATACGAGCCGTAGAGAGACCGATCATAACAACATAGAGAAAAAGTATTTGTTTTTTTCTGTTGATAGCATTTTTTTTCCGAAGAAATCAGTTTTTTATTATCTATTACAACGACCACGTTCTCTTGAATGCTTCATTTCTGTCTGAACCCGTGATATCATTTATTTTCCGATTATCTCTTCTAAAACTTTTGCTAAATTTCGGTATGTTTCATTCAGTTCCGATGGGGTCAAAATGACCTAGTTTTTATTTTTCTTGAGTATCTACACATTCTCATTATAAAGATAATGTTTATAACTAGAACGAGAATAATCCTGTCATTCATTTATTGGATCTCAGACCATTCGATTTGATGAAGACTGAAAAAAAGCATTGAGATAGATATCGAGACAGAGAAAGGTATACATTGAAACAGTAACAGGAACAGATGAATAATTAAATATGAAGTGGTGATGAATTTTTCTTTCTTTCTACGATACACTTGCTTTTCTATATTGCTCATTAAAGCAAGTGATCGAACGAGCAAGCAATTGTACTTTTAGCACCATCTGTTGACTTATGAAACTATCTCTGCTTTCTTTTCTTCATGAACCATTTTCTTTCTAACTGTGCAAATAATTTCGAGTGATTTCAGCAGGCGGTAAGCGATTCCTATTGATTTTCTATTGAACTTGATTGCAATGTGATCTTTTGGTTCTTATCATGCCCTATAGCAGATATTTTCTGATGTTTGACTTCATCACAGATCATGAGCAATTTGCAAGAAATTTTAACACAAACTAAAAATGGTTCTATTGTATTTCACATGTCAATCTTATAAAGATTGTACAAAAGATTTTTCTTTAATGAATATACTCTACATTTTAAGAAAAAAACTGCCACAGCAATCATATTTTTTCCTAGACTCTAATACATACTAACTAAAAACAGTGCTAACTCTGTAAATAAAAGATTAGCGCGATCATGACCACCTTTATACATATCTGTCATAACGGCTATTTGAAATAAATGGTTAGACTCAGGTAAATCATGTTCATATAAGCTCAAAATAATGATGTATAGTCGGACTTGAGTAGAAATAAAAAGATCATGTTAACATAAGGCTTTTTTCTGAACTGAATCTTAGAACTGGGCGTTCAAGTGTCAATACATACTACATCCATATGCAGAAACTCAGTGATGTTCAGTAATTTCTTTTGATAATTAACAGCAGAAAAGCAACTCTAGCGTCTATCCATCAAAAAATTCATACATCTTAATGAAAATTTTAGCTATTCAACGATTATCCGAAGCATTAAATATTGCTCAAGAGAAAACTATCTATGTAAGCAGAATGCAATCGATTAATTATAAATACTTTTTTAAACTCTTGTTTATATAAAAAGAAGAACAGAAAATCCATAACATTTAATCAACTGCTCATCGAAAAGTTATTGTTTCTCATTTTCTTATGAATTCTTTTTCATCGTTCATTATTAAGTCTTTTTACACAAGTTTCTTTTGTTTTTTGTGAGACTCAATAATTTGGCAAAGATTCTATCCATTTCTTAGCGTCACATATCAGACCGTTGTGACTAAGTCGTATTGAGTTACATTCATTGTTGTTCCAGTTTCCATTTTATGTACTCACTTGCAACTATCATGCTTAATGAAAAATCTATACAAATGACACTTTGTTCAAGATTAAACGATGTATATCACAACACACCTAATTCTTATCTTGGTTCTACTGATAATGGTCGTTCAATGTCCAGGTGGTGGAGGAAGAGGAGGAAGTGGTGGCAGTAGTAGCAGTCGTGGAAGTAGCAGACGTAAGTTATAATTCGAGTGAGTGTTTCGAATAACGACGGAGAAAGCTGGCTTATCTTTATTGGCATAAGATGTTGACATTTGAACCTTATATGAAAATATTTTTCAGATGGAAAGTCGACTTTTACAATATTTGAAAGGCAACTATTGAATGATAATATGTATGTTAAAAATATTTTAATTTGAGATGTAAATAGCAATGCAGAAAATCAATCAAGATCAGTCACTTTCTTTCCATCGTGATCAGTAACACTCATTCTAACTGTGTCAATGATTGATTTCATGTTGAAATTTATATGTGTTCTATTGATATTTTAGGTTCTGGTAAAGGTTCAACACTATGTTTTTCTGATGGATGTGAACCTATTGCAGTACTTTTTTCCATATTTATTGTAATCGTGATGGTGGGCATAATACTATGTATAATTCTGACTTACTGCGATCAATGCATGAGTGGCAAACCATCACAAGTGAATGAAGATTTTATTCGTCAAGATTTTGTAACACATGACAAAGATGAAAGGTATCCTTTTGAGACAGGTGTTTGGTCTTTTCGATATTATCAATATAACAAATGGCATGGACCTTATCAAGTACCACTCACGTTCGATCGTTTCTTAGGCAAAACTACTGGTCAAGGAACAGATGATGTCGGTAGTTTTATTTTCGATGGTATCTTTTCTTCGGAAACTCTCCGACTGGCTCTAACGCAGAAATACGAAGCAGGAACAGGTGACCCACAACAAAATCTCGGCCATACATCGACTATACAATTGATTTGGAATGCAAATAATAATCAATTTGAGGGTACATGGTATGTTCGAACACATCAGTATAGTGGAGAAGGCGAGTTTGAATTGAAATTGGAACAAGCTTCAGTGTCTTTACTTACTGCAAATAATGAATGCTAATAATGAACCTTACAGTTTTATAGTCTTCTATTTTGTATTCTCAATTAACAAAATAAATGTTTTTTCCATGATTTGTATATCTCAGTCAAGATTAATCATTGAAATCATTAACATGAGATCATATATGCTTAAATGAACATAATTTTTGAAAAAAATTGTGACATATGATAATGGAATGTTATCATCAGTTTTGATGATAGGCCATGTGTATCAAACGCAGAATCTCCTTTCACATAATAAATATCTTGTAACTTAAAACGAGTTATTTAGATATACTGCATCGCAAAAAAATGCGATGGAGTGAGTGGGGGTGTGCCTATGAGACATAGTGAAGAGAAAAAGAGGACCAGAAGCAATTCTTTTCATGATTGCATCTATGAACCTTCGAAGAAAACTTATCCAACTGATAGATGCCTTTTAAAGTAATAGTTTGTCCTTAGGTAGGGCTCATAATGTAAATAAAAATCGTAAAAAATACCTCAACTAGGAATTTCTGCCTGAAAATTGCTCCAAAATTAGATATAATGATCCTTATTATATTCTGAAAGTTTCAGCATAAACAAATAGTTATTTTCTGAAGTAATAAATCTGCAAAAACCACTAGTTTCTCACAGAAGCTCAACAAGTAGTCTATTTTTGAGATATTTCACATTTTAAGGAAACTTCATATGATTGAACTGAAACTTTCAAGATATAACAAGGACCATTAGGTATATTACCAGTAAAATTTTCACGCTGAAGTTCCTAGTCGAGGTGTTTTTCATGATACTCCGTGATCGGTCGCAAACTCAGTAAAATGACAATAACTCGAGAAGAAAGATCTAAGGGCACTAATCCTTTCAGAGTTTTTATTCGCAATATGAACCCTACCTAAAGACAAAATATCACTTCAAACGGGTTTTATCAGTCGGATACGTTCCCTCGTTAGTCTTTTGTGTACATACGGCTGACACTTCATGTGGAGTATCTGTGCTTACACGCAGCCTATCTTACTAGAACGATTTTCGGAGAATGTAGTTTTCGGCTTTCCAAAACTGTCACTTAGCACAATAAAAAGTACTTATTCAATTATAATGTTTATTTTAGCAAAAATGAGACAATCATTTTTTTTTTCATATAGTGTATATTGTTATTACCTATGTATTATATAAATATGCTATGGGTGCATTATTCTTCAAGGGCCTGCAGCAGGGTATCATCAATAACTTATTTCCAACTTTTGAATCCTTTCAGGGTGTGGGTGAGTGTAGATGATGTGGTTGTGGACATGCATCTTCTCTGCACTCCTTCCCACCCTCACACCCACCCGTACACACTCACACATACCCACACCCAAAGTATGCACACAACGGACCTTGGTCATTCACTCTTTTATAATGATATTTTTATTTGGGATGAGTTTCATAAAAAAAAGGATTACTTTGGCCAGTTCTTTTATTGCAATCATGTAAAACGATTAATAGAAAGGTATGAATCGCTTCTTTGAAAAGGGATATGATTTATTGAAATAAACTAATGATATACAAAGAATAGCACATGCAATATCTTTACACCTCTCTTCTTTCCTCTTCCTTTTTTTCTGATCTTGAAATGCATACGTACGTCTTCCTTCGCTTTCGTTTTTTCTTCTCTTCTGGCTCCCTCTTTGCTTCACCTCTTTTTTTGCTTCGTCGTCCCTTTTTCTCTTTTTATATTTATATTCTTAGTCTTCATACCAACAGAAATAATACTCGGTAGAAAGATATTGATAGCGAGCAGCAAAACTCACTGCGTTTATTTATTGCTCAGTGCTTAAATATCTTAATTTCTCCTTATATTATCATACAAGCACTTCTGAGTTACATTTAGGAGCAAAATAAAAACAAAGAGGATTTATGACTTTGTGTACAGCACGGCTGGTCTGTAAGAGAAACCTTGAAATATTAGCCCTATGATGCTCCTTCGCCATGTGACAAAATCCATGGTGCAAGATGAAGGCAGCCGTTTCTTAAGCAAACAGACAGAAAAGAGAAAAAACGACAATATTATATGGTATTGAGTGTCGTGTCATGAAGCAGTCTTCGTTAAACATCGTCTCTCTGCATATTGTAATTTATTATTTTTGATGGCTTCGTCCAAGTTATGTGTCGAGTATACTACGGATGAATTAACGACAACGATGATAACAAGTTTGAGTCTTCGTGTTTCAGACATAACACAAGAATCATTCAAACATGCCTCGTTGGTTCATGGATGTATCAAGATGCCACTTGTTTCTCTTGAAGATGCGGTTGAACCACTTGTGGTGCATCTCGGTACAGACATTCGAGACTATGCTTCAATTGCTAAGAAACATCAGAGTATTTCGCCGCTAGCAGATGGATTAACATTGGACGAGTCTGCTTCGATTTTGCTTTACTTGATGGAATGGCAACCTCATGATCAATGTCTATCATTCGTTTTGAATTCGACTCTTCGTTCAACTAACAAAAACCGCAAACAAAGTACAGTCAAATCTTGGTTTCTTTTTCTCAAACTTCTACTCACATCTCTCTCAAAACTACCATCTGTCCAATCGAGTCTGTATCGTGCGATCAACCGTGACTTGAAGAAAGATTATCCTCTTGGAAAAACATTCACTTGGTGGGGCTTCTCATCTTGTACTTCTTCTATCGATGTACTCAAATCTGAACCTCTTCTTGGGAAGATAGGTCCAAGAACTATTTTTGAAATAGAATGTGGCCATTCAGGCAAGGATATCAGTCGACATTCATTTCGACCAACAGAGCATGAAGTTATTTTACTACCTACGACTCACTTGCAGGTGGTCGGTCGTCAAAAATATTTGATTGATACGTACATTATCCGTCTCAAGCAAGTGGAACTCCCCTTTTCCCTGCTACTGCATACACGGTCTTCTAGTATTCAACTACAACACAACACTAGCGGAGATAATCATCAAAATGCTCGACTTGAAGCACTCATTGATAAATACCAGTCCGGTTCACTTCTTAACTTAAGACAACGTCATCTGACCGATCTGGACATGTTATTGGTGGTTCAACAAGCAGTTTTCAAGAAGCAATGTACGCAGCTTGATCTATCGTCCAATTGGATCACGGCACATGGGGCTCGAGTGATTGCAAATTCAATTCCTTTTTCTTATTTGCAAACGCTTGATTTCGGCTTCAATCATTTGACAGATGATGGTGTTCGCTCACTTGCACAATCAGTAGTGATGACTAATAATAACAAGACAATATTAACTGATCTTGGTTTAAGTGGCAATTCGATCACAGATGAAGGTGCTAGATATTTGGCTCAAATGCTGTCAAACAGTAATAGCGATGTCACACGTTTGTGGCTTTCCTATAATCAAATTACGGGACGAGGAATTCAACTGCTTGCCACAGCCATCGGCTGTAGCAATTCGAAACTGGAAATACTAACTCTTGCCGAAAATCCATTTGGTGATGAATGTGTTGATGCAATTATTAACATGCTCGAACGTAATCGATCACTGATAATCCTTGACGTGAGCAAAACAAATTTATCGCTGATGAGCAAAGCACGATTGAAACGGGTAGTAAGAACAAGACCCTTTTTCAATCTGCAAGTGTCTGGAAATATAGTAGAAAGCACGCTGATGAGACTTTTGTAGAAATGATCACAAACAAAAAAATAATAATTGTTATCAAGGTCGACACTAAAAAAATATTTTCTCCATTTATAATCCATTATAACATAGCATGATTATCTTGACATTATCTAGACTTCTTTGTTATTCTCCGCTGCATGGTTGTTTACGCTGCTATTCATAAATGAAGTCTGGCGGGCAGGATAAATAGATTCATCCTTATTGTAACCGGAACACAATGGGCAACTTTCGCAAAGCAGGCGAACATGCAATTTTTCTGCTTGGAAACGGATTTTCACCGGTGAGAACGAGTGATATATCACTTAGAAAAATCTCTTTTAACATAATAAACCAGTTTTTGAGGAAATTACCCGTGGAGGACCCTTACCCTAATTTTTCGAAAAAACTTTTTGTCAGAATATATATCGCGTTGCACCTCATTCGATATAGTTTCATGAGCTGGTTTCGAATATTACGTTCTTTTTACATTATAAAGCTATTCTGATAGAAAAAATAGCAATTTCCAGCTCAAAGCATGGACTTTGGGGTGTTTTTTTTGACTCGGTCTATGGTCGCTAATGCTATACGATATAGATAGCCAACGATAAATTAACATGGAGGTATACACAAGGGGAAAAAGCAGATTTTGACACATAAAATCTCTATAAATCTTTGGAAATCTTTAAGAATCCTTTGGAATCCTAAAATGAGGCATATTTCAACAACAACACAGTAGTGAATTATTAGGATTGAATGGAATTGGTATTGATCGGCCTTCATATTATTGTACTGGTACCGTTATATCCCTAATTTTTCCGTTAAAGAAAGGACCTTTTCAGCAAAGAAGGATTTTTTTATGAGGCGTTATCAAAAATTTTCGGATGCGGGTGGTTCGAATATGCTGTTAGTTTTTGGAAAGTTTGAACTTCATCGCTTGGTCAAGTAAACTAATTTCGTCTACGAATGGTCAAATTTAATGCAAAGCGTAACTTGTTCAAAAATCTCTTCCTTGAATCGAAACTTCAAGTATACAACCCTAAGAAATTAATTCCAGAGTCAGATTCCTCAACCTCCATTACTTATAATCAAATTTCATAAAAAGTCGTTATTTTCATGAAAGACCCTTTCTTTTTCGAAAAAAAATCAAGGACGTAACACTAATTGTATCATTAATACCGTTGCGGGTTGAGAGCAATTGGTATGGAGAGATGCGTACTTAAAATTTGTGTAAACAGCTTTCAAAATGTTTAATACCATTGAATATCTTTTGAATAGTATTTTCTCATTACTTAGAAGAGCGGCAAAAGGAAAAACTGAATAAGTTAGTTTTTATGTATGTATGTATATTTTTCTGCAGTCACGTGTTTGCGTATCTATATTCGAA